AGGGTATCTGACTGGGGCAGTTATTCTCAGAAGGGAGCAGCCCTTTTGGGGCCATGTGTATTCATTAAGCCTATTGAGTGCCACAGGGTCTTAATGACATATGGCCCTTTAGGCCCTTGAGCACTACGATTATTAGTTCTAAGGATGCCTTGGGCTGAAGTGCAAATTGTTGATCTAATCAGCCATGGCCTGGCTCAGATGACACAAAGCATGTTTAACTCTCTTGGCAGGAATGCCTGTAGCTTCTTTTTTTAGAAAGGGTCTATGGGCATGAGAGTCTGAAGCCTTCTATAACATAGTATATTGTTTTCAGGAATAATATTCATAGTTTTTATAATATGTAGTATGTATGATGTATATGTATAGTATAGTGTACAGTTGTGTGTTGTGTGTGTGTTGTGTCGTTATACTATATTATTATTATTTTTTTTTAAAGATGAAGTTCTTGCTCTTGCTTCGCCAGGCTGGAGTGCCATGGTGTGTCTTGGCGTCACCGCAGACACCTCCACTCCTGGCTCAAGCGAATTCTCACTGCCTCAGCCTCCCAGTAGCCTGGGATTACAGGCATGTGCCACCCACCACCTGGCTATTTTTAGTACTTTTAATAGAGTGGGGCTTTCTCCATGTTGGTTCAGGCTGGATCTTGAACTCCCGACCGTCAAGATGATCCACCTGCCCTCAGCCTCCCCCAAATTGCTGGGATTACAGCGAATCGAGCCACTTGCACCCCGGCTGCTTTTTTTTTTTTTTTTTTTTTTTGAGACACGAGTCATGCTCTGTTGCCCAGGCTGGATGCACTGGCCATGATCTTGGCTCACTGCAAACCTCTGCCTCCCTGGTTCAAGTGATTCTCTGCCTCAACCTCCCCAAGGTAGCTGGGACTATAGGCCACATGCCGGACGAATGCCCAGCTAAGTTTTGGTATTTGTTAGAGAAGACAACGTGTTTCTCCATTTTGGCCAGCTGGCCTCAAACGTCTGACCTTAAGTGATCGCGCCCGCCTCGCCCACCCAGAGTGCTGGGATTGATACGGCATGAGCACCACACCCCAAGTCGGGAAATACATTATATATATTATAAACTTGAGCACACGTTATAACTTATAAAAGGACTGTACCTCTGAGCTCCCTTAGCAAGACTGAACGGAGTCAATACCTGTCAAAAATTTGGCTTTCATTTTTCAGGCCTAGAAACTTGTTGTTAGAACTACATTAATTAGGCTGGGTGCAAGTGCTCATTGCCTGTAATCCTACGTCACATCTTGGAGGCTGACGGTGGGACGCGAGGAGCACTTTGAGGTCAACATTCGAGACCCAGCTGGCCCCAGCATGGTTGAAAGCCCGTGCTCTACTCGAAGAATAACAAAAATAACAGGCCACTGGGTGGCCGGGTGCCTGTAATATCCCAGCTACTTCAGGAGGCTGAGGCTAGAGAATCGCTTGAGGCCCTAGAGAGGCCAGAGGTTGGCAAGTTAAGTTGAGATTCGCGCGGCTGCGCTCGCACCCCTGGCGTGACGCAGAGTGAGACCCTCCATCCTCAGGAAAAAAAAAAAAAAAAGAATACACCATTTTGATCGCAGAAGCCCTTTCATGGATATTTCCTTCTTGTTGTCAGCAGGCTAGAAAGCCACATTGGCTTACGTGGTGAGCTCGGAGTCATTAAAGGGAGGTAGATGACCTGGCTTATGGGATAGTGTCCCCAGCCATGGTGAGGCTGCTCCATCATAGCTCCACCTCTGGCTGTCTTTAATGTTCACCAGATTCAGGACATCTCACCTAGACAGTTGGACAGACTTTGCCTCAATTTTGTCTGTAAAAGGAGGCACTGACACATTTTGGGCCACACGCTTTGCATTACGGAGCTGGTCAGTTACTTGATAGGATTGATTTGTCATAGGATATCGTTCTGTCGGGTTTGAATAGGGAGAAGGAAGGCAGCAGCCAAATGAGGTATGGCACATAGGGTGCTGCAGGGAAAGTAGATTCAGTAGCCAGTTCCTGGGCAATTGGGGCACAACAGGAGGTCATGAGGTGACAAGGGAGCCAGAGGCACAGGGAGAGAGGGAGAATGAATGGCTATGCTTCACGTGACCTGTGTGTGGCTAGTGCTTCATTTATTAATTAATCATGACATTCCTGTGGTTGGGGCTATGATGGATGTTGTACAGAGAAGGTTCCTACATACTATCTAAAAGCACTTAATTTCCGAACTGAATTTATACGTTTAGTGTGCTTCTGAAATATGTTCGCAAAGTTTTTAAACATTTATTTTTTGATCTTGAGGAAGCAATGCTGAAGTTCATCTGCTAGAATGAATGTCTGAAAACAGCCAAAAAAATGTTCTCAGGCCAGGCGTGGTGGCTCATGCCTGTAATCCCGGGTGGATCATGAGGTCAGGCGTTCAAAACCAACCTGGCCAGGATGGTGAAACCCCATCTCTAATAAAAATACAAAAAAATTAACTGGTCGTGGTGGTGGGTGCCTGTAATCTCAGCTACTTGGGAGGCTGAGGCAGGAGAATTGCTTGAACCCTGGGGTAGGGGTGGTGGCAGGGCAGAGGTTGCAGTGAGCCATGCCACTTCCCTCCAGCCTGGGCAAAAGAGCAAAACTCTGTCTCCAAAAAAAAAAAAAAAAAAAAGAAAAAAATTTTAAGGAAGAGAAACTATATTTACTCTTTGTTGAGTGGAAGTGGATCATCTGGATCTTCATCATCACATTGAGAAGGAGGAGGAGGGAGGGGGTTGGTCTTGCTGTCTGGGTTGGCAGAGGTAGAAGAAAGTCTGCACAGAAGTGGATCCCTGAAGTTCAAACCTATGGTGTTCAAGGGTCGACTGTGTAAGTAAAGTGCAAATTAGAAATAGTTTTCTTTCTTTCTTTGTTTTTTTTTAAAACGGAGTCTTGGGAGTTTCGCTCTTGTCACCCAGGCTGGAATGCAGTGGTGCAATCTCGGCTTACTGCAACCTCCGCCTCTTGGGTTCAAGGGATTCTCCTGCCTCAGGCTCCTGAGTAGCTGAGATTACAGGTGAACGCCACCACACCTGGCTAATTTTTGTATTTTTAGTAGAAATGGGGTTTTGTCATGTTGGCCAGGCTAGTCTTGAACTCCTGACCTCAGGTGATCTGCTCGCCTTTGCCTCCCAAAGTGCTGGGATTATGGTGGTGAGCCACTGTGCCTGGCCAGAAACAGTTTCTATTGGATTTCAAAAGATAAAACATAATTCTCAATATTATGGGTGGGGGGACAGGTAATTACATGCATAAGACTACATTGTTGGCCGGGCACAGTGACTCATGCCTGTAATCCCAGCACTTTGAGAGGCTGAGGTGGGCGGATCATAAGGTCAGGAGTTTGATACCAGCCTGGCCAACATGACAAAACCCCATCTCTATTAAAAATACAAAAATTAGCCAGGTATGGTGGTTTACACCTGTAATCCCAGC